TCTCCACGCGCCGCACGCCTGAGGATTTCACGTGAGCAAGGGCGAGCGGTTTCCAGGCGCACTGGTGCCAAAGTCGCTGTGCGGCGACCCGTAGCTGTTCTGGCTGTTTTGCGGCCGCAGCCGGATGTTCGGCGACGTGAGCAGCCCTGGCGGCTCCTCTTCGGCCTCGATGTTGATCGATGCGAGACGGTCGACCATTGTTGTAGCGACGATGCTTGGTGTTTTGAATGTGCATCTCTGTAACTTGACGTTCAACTTGACGCCGTGTGCTCGTCTGGCCTCAGTGGCGTCCGGCCGGTGCGGTCGCGGGCGGCGCGCTGGTGGTGGCTGGCCGGCGCCGGCAATACACGCACGACGAGACAGCTCCAGCCCGGCGCCGCGCGGACGTCGATCAGTGCCGGGGTCGGACGTAACGGCTTACCTAACATGTTACTTACGACTTACATTCGGCCAAAACGACTTACCTGACGGGTTACTTTCGGACTCCACGACTTACCCGGCGGCCTACCTCGGCCCGAGGCCGCGCGGGGCGGGCGCCGCTTTCGCGGAGCGCGCGCGCGGCGGGGCAATCCGACGGCGTCGGCGCCGTGGATGTCCAGAAGGCCAACGACGAGAGTGGCAAGATCCTCCACTCGTGCGCCACGCGCTGGCTCGGGCGCAGCGACGCGCTGGCGAGCGTCGTCAAGTCCCTCGTAGCCCGCGGGTTTTGGCGAGTGCCCAGTCATCCGTCCGTTTTGGCGAGCTCAACGACTTACCCCGGGGCCCGACGACTTACCCTACGACTTACAATCGGCGCCAACGACTTAAAAACGGGTTACTTTTTTCGACACGGCACCTATTTCGTGCTGGCCGGGGGTGGAGCTGAAGTGCGGACAGTGTCCGCACTTCAGGATGAGGCGCGGACAGGCCAAGTCTTGCGATGTGTGCGCCCCCTGGAGGCCCACCGGCGGTCACACCGTGTCCTAGGGGTTCATATGGACGCCGCTGACCCGCGGCGCGCTGCAATTCGGTGCCGGCGGCGCGAGCCGCAACGGTTTCGGACCGAGCGCGACGCCGTGGCGCCGGGGCCAGAGCGGCGCCCGCCGACGCCGTGGACCGTACCCGCGCCCCACACACGCCCACCGTATGTTAATCGACGCGCTCCGCCGAAAGATCGTTGGAAATCGCTGGGAATCCGGCCGCGGCGCGCCGCGAACTCGCTCCGCCGTAGCGCGACACCGTGGCGCCGAGGGCCAGGGCGGCGCCCGCCGACGCCGTGGACCGTACCGGCGGCCCAGACACGCCCACCGTATGTTGTTCGACGCGCTCCAACAACAAATTGTTGGAAATCGCTGGGAATCCGGCTGCGGCGCGCCGCGAACTCGCTCCGCCGTTGCGCGAGGACGCGCCGCTCGGCCGTCCGCGCGCAATTTTGCGTCGACCGATCACCATCGCTGTGTTCCGCCGGACGCATCGGCATCGTGGAGCTCGTCGAGGGCGACCCTCGCGGTTTTGGACGACCGCGCGCCGCGCGACACTCGCCGAGATCGTCGCGGCCGAGAACGAGCGGACGGCCACCGCGGCCCTGATGCGGCCGCGTCCGCGCCTCGCTCGGGGCCTCTGTCGGTCGCGCGTCCATCGCCAGTTACGAACGTCGCCGCGGGTTGCTGGGCAGCTGCAGAGAGAGCCTTTGGGCACGCCCAGGGTCCCAAAACGGCTGTATTTTCACCTAAATTCATGCCAATATGGCTCGTTTGAGCGGCAGCTTGGCCCAGCTGGCTTTCTGCCAGCCCCGTTGTGTTTCTCCTACCTACGCCCCTGGAGCCTCGCGGCTCCTCCTGGGCTTGCTGGTCGCAGGCCAGCTACTTTTTTTGGCCAAACAGGCCAATTTTGGGCATCTTCTCAGCACAGGACCACTCATGATGATGGTGCTTCGGTACTACTCTCACGGAGTTCGAGGGACGCAGCAAGGTCCCCACCTTCTTTCTTTTACGCCTCCGGCGCCTTCGGCGCCTCTTCGGCGCCTCCGGCGCCGTTCCGGCGCCTTCGGCGCCGGTTTTTTTCTTTTTTTTTCCTCTTTTTTTCTCTTTTTTTGGTCTCTGCCAGCATGAAAAAAGTGCCCTTTTTTCGTTACGTCCGACCCCGTCGATCACGATCGACCGGACGTCGCAGCCTGGCCAACCCAGCCACCGGCAGAAGACGGGCGCGAACTCCGCTCGAACATGTGGCGAAAAGGATCGTTAGAGGTTGGTGTTTTTGGGGTGGCGCCGCGGGGGTCTCGGCCCGGCCCGCGAGGGGCCGGCGGCCCGCGGGCGCCGCGGCGCGCGCTTACGCGCTGTTGGAGACCTGGATGCCGGGGAGGTCCTTGAAGTCGAGGGCGTCGAGCATCTCCTTCGTGTCCGGGTCGATCTCGACGAAGTCCTGGTCGATGGCCGAGACCTCGGGCACGAAGTCCATTCGCCGTTCCCGCTCCTCCTCC